ATAAAAAATTGTGTTAAAAAAAAAAAAAAAAAAAAAAGGCAGCAAAGGGTTTGTGTGCTTCAAGAGAAGTCTTTCTAACACCATCCGCTGTCATTCTTGAGAAGCTGGAAGAAACATATCATCTCCCTTCAAAGATTGTGCTAAGAACTTTACCTGTCAGCACTGAAACCCGAGTGCCTTGGACTGGTGAGATCCCAGCTCCTCACTCTCTCTCTTTTCTCTCTAGGTATAGATTCTGAACCTGAACTGTATTAGTTAAGTTTGAACTAAGTTTCCCCAAATACTTAGTGAAACCAGGGTAGTATTGTAATTGCTTGTGTTTGTTTTCCTTTGCATGTTTATTACTACTAGTACTGTTATATATTTCATATACTTAGCAATAAATAACTTTTATAGTCAAACTGGTAGTAACTAGGTATATTTTTTTCCTTCTCTACTCCTCCTTTCCCACTTGCTCTGCAGCAACGCTTCTTTTACCTAAGCTAAAGATCCCTGTGAAGCCCAAAAATATTGTGGGGTCTGCTCGTCAAGAGGCTAAAGATTGGGATGTGCTGAGTTTGAAACACATAAGGGGATCAGCTTGTACAGACTGACTGACCCAGTTTGGCTCAGATGTGCCCTAATGAACTGAATGCTGGCCCATGAGGGTGTCAGCTGGACACCCAGCCAGATTCAGAGGTATTCTGTTCACCTGTGTGCTTGTGTCTGACTGCAGTTTATTGTTGCTCTGATGAACTGATTCTTGGCATATGAGGGTGTCAGCCTGTCCATGCTGATCAACCCAGCCGGGTCAGGTGTGTCACGTTACTCTGTGTGTTTTGTGTGTATATGACTCATTTGGTGACTGGAGGAACCCAGCCACATTGAAACGGAGTCCTGAATGATACCTCTGTTGGGAGTGAGGACTTGCAGAAGGGAGATATACAGCTCCGTATAGAAACACAAGTAACACAAGCAGCACACTGATAGAATTACAAAGACCCTAGAAATATATCCCTAATAAATGAGCACACCCCAAGGTGATGGGCAAATCTGGTAACACAGGATTTTCAGTTTTTAGAAGTTACAGACAGGGTCCTGACTTTCTAGAATGGAAGGCTTTAAGTTTTTCCTTATGTGACTGTTTGTTTTTTTTTCCAAAGTTACGGATTAGCTTGTGAAGTAATATCATTAAAATTCACTACTTAATATTTTTTGTCCAAAATTGTTATTCAAATGCAACAATGGTAAGGTAACAGAAAAAGAAGTAAGGATTTACCAAGCTAGTAGTAAGAACAGTTTGCATTCTTTGCTTACCAAAGAGCATGTCCTTCTCTGGCACAAGGTATATGTCCATCCTGTGGTATCCTCTCCCAAGTCAAATCAGTAGGAGAAACTATTTATAAACACGCATGTTAGATTTTTAGATTACTGGTATCCAGTAACATACTACCAAACATTTTTGATGAGATAAAAAACACACTGTATAATAAAGAAAGGGATAATTGTTATAATTAATTCTTTCATTATGAGAATGCACATTTGGAACTTGTATACTTCTAAAAAACTTGCTTTGGCTTCCAGTAATTTTTTTCTGTAGTCTCCTTGCACCCAGTCTTCGAAGTTTTTTTACTTCTACTTGGGAAAGAGAATGTCCTGTTCCTCCCCTCCCCAGCTTAGAGCTGAAAGCCATGGGGAACTGGGGAGGATCCATCAGCTGAGAGAGTAAAACTTCGAGCCATCATTTCCCTGTCCTTCCCAAAACAAGCAGAGTTCTTTTGCAATATGTCTGGATATGAGAAATCCAAGGTTAAAATAGCTGACTGAATTAAACCTTGGCATTCTATATGCTAGTAACTTAGTAGCAGCAAATTGCACTAACAACATTGCTCAAGAAATACAGTAAATAAAAAAAATAAATAAGTCACAGCAGATCAGCAAATAATGTTTTAAAATATGTCTAAATAAACTCTCTGTCGTGCTGAGTGAACAATCATATTAAGTAAATTAAAAACCACAGGGAATAATAATTATGCATCTTTTGTTTATTCCTAGCAGCATGGGAAGAAAACTTGAAATGATTTTTAACCATCTTAGCTTTTTTCTCAGTAACACTTTTCTCTTTTTCTATGGTGATAACACTTTATATACATTGCAAATGATTGTCCTATTACAGTGAAATATGTACAACTCCAAAGGGAGGAATAAATCTATGAATACTTTGCCTGCTAGAAAAGATGAATAATATCTCACTTGTCAACATGTAGAAGTCACTGAAATATGTTGGCTGATCATCCTAGGGGAAGATACAGAGAGAAATTGAAGTTGGTATTTTTATTTACAGGACATTAATAGTGCCACCAAAGCAGGGAATGCTTTTCAAATTAGAGAGGTGTTTAAGATCTCACAAGTGTCTAGTTTAAGAAAAAAAACATAGATTGTTACCAAGGGAGCAGTGGGTGTAGAACTGAAATGCATGTCAGCATATAACTTAGCATACAACTAAAGGAAGATCCTACTCCCATTTTCATTTTAAAACTCAAAACTACCATCAAGTCACTTCCATCTGAACTACAAGAAAAACTACAGAGCTTGATCCTCCCTATTTATAGGCAGGAGCGCTGGTTCCCCCTCTGCGTGCAGCAGTAGGGGAGCAGTGCTCCTAGAAGCTGCCACAGCCACTTCCGGAAGCGGCTGCAGCAATCGACCTATTCTATTCAGGAAGATCACAGAACAACTGCAGACACTTCCTCAGCCTGAAGAAGGGTGTTTGCACCCAAAAGCTTGCAAAGAAGAATTTTTCCAACTATTTTAATTGGTCTAATAAAAGATACTGGATTTATCCAAAGAACCTCGTCTGCCAGCACACAATGCATGGAATGGTTCTGCAATGATTAACTATACATTTCTGCATTCAAAACAAACAATGATCAAACTAGACCATTTAAAACAGGAAGTGTTTAAAAAAATTATTTAATAAAAATTACACCTAAAATTACACTAACAGCAAATTCTTCACCGTTAAAAATTAAACGAACTACAACAAACATTACCAGCTACACTTACAAAGGAATTATGCATAGAACATCCTCCAAATACAAATGCTATGTCGCCGGCCACTGTCAATGCATGTCCATGCCTACAAAAGAAACAAAACAGTGGTGAATAACTTCAGCTGTTAAAATTACTATATAGTTCCTTGGTTACCAGGATTATATACAGATAAAGATCTTAGCTTGTTAGGAAAAGAGAAATTAATAACCCTTTCCCCCCCCCCCACAAACGAGGGTGTACACATTGAAAACATCTCCTAAAATATTTTATTCTTCAGTCAAATGCCAAAAAACAAGTGCTAAATGAGTTCCAAATTATTTGGAGAGTTGGTTCATTAGTATGATTTATGGTTTTTATAACAGTAACACAGAGATGTATCAGCTAAGTCATTGTACTTAGCACTGTATAATAGACCCTGTCCCAAGGGACTTAATGTTAAATCCGGCTTCATTTTCAGACACCTCAGTGACGTGCACAGTTCAGATTTTGTTTCACTTATGATGGAATATGTAACCTGCTGAAAGTAAAATGGAGAAGGTCAATCTTCCTATATTTTTAGTTCAGTAGCTTACTGGTTAGGGCACTTGCCCAGAGAGCAGGAGATCTGGGTTATCTGTCCCTTACCCATAGAAAGGATTTGAACCTGTATTTCCCATTTACCAGCATAATGCTCTAACCACCAGGTTAGGGGCTAAGCATTGCTAAAAATATTCCCTAGCCCTTGTCTTGACACTGGCCCACTAGGCAGTCAGGAGGGGAAGGGCCAGAAGGCAAGAAGGGAGTGTGGATCAGGAAAAGGAATACTGCCCTAGTGGTGAGGTGGCCTTAGCCCATGCTTTCAATGAGGAAGAAACTGTCCCTCTCCCATTTATCAATTGTATCCAATGAATAGTGAATGCAAGGTGTAAAAAAGCCATCAGGCATAGGGGGTGTTTAGCATTCCAGTCTCCTGTTCCTGGGGCAAGCTTCCTAACCCATTGGCCAAAATGTGGGAGGGCTGCCCTGCTCCTCTACCATTTTACTTCTAGCAACTACAAATACTCTTGGGTAACCATATCCCTGCCTGCCCTGGTCTCCAGTTATGGCTTTTCTGCAACTCAATCTTTGGGTCTTACCTGCCATGGGGTACATGCTGAGACAATTCTATTTTGCCCTGGGGTCTGCACAGCCAGAAAGGCAAGTGTACGGTGAGTGTAGCAACACTGGTTTAAATAGAATCCTAATTGTATGTAAGTGCCAAACACTGCAGTTATGTGGATACGTAAGTGCCACTTTGGCACATAAAGGTGAAATAGGATTTATTCTTAATTAAGTTACAATCCAATATATGAGGGACAGGAGGAGCAAGGAATGGGTTATCCCATAATGGATGTCTTAGTACAGAAAAACACTGGGCACAGCAGAAAGCCAATGGATAGTTATAACCACAGGATGCCGCCTGTCTAACCATTATCTGAGGCTAGGTTTCAGCACATATTTCAGGAGAGATGAGTTTTAAGGAGAAACTTAAAGGTGAAAGGTTTTCCTACACACAAGTGACAGTACAGGCAAAAGTGTAAAAGTGCTTCTTGGAGAAGCAGATGGTTGAGGCTGATATCACTGGCAGAATAAAGGCAAAGGTCAACTTCATGCCAAGATAATAGGATAGGCAAAATAAAGCTTTGAAAGGGCTTTGAAACTCAGTGCAAGAAGTTCACGCTAGATGCTTAAAAATATTTAAAGATTTTCATAGCCATTTTGAGGCTTATTTCTTAGCACATCCATGTTATTCTCTCATTCCTTATCAGAGACAATTTTCCACGTCTACATGTGAATGCCTGCACTGCACAGTAAATATGGTGACTTATGCTGACTTGAGCATAAATTTGATACCTGCATCATGCAGGTATCAAATTTACACCCAATTAGTTACTGCACAGTAATGCATGTGTAGATGCTTTACTGCTCAGTAACACTTTAGTTCCAAGTCAGTCTATATACAGTGTTCATGTGCTTTAACACTTGCATGTGTAGATGCTGGCTTATTTCCACTTACTGCACAGTAAATTTTAGCCAGCGTAAATGCATGTGTAGACATGCCCAGTTAGTTCACTACCCGTATTTACAGATAGTAACTAACTGTGCAGTGGACTAATTTACTGTGCAGCAACGTGCGCATGTGAAGACGGTGATGCTTTACTGCACAGATTAGACAACTGTGTAGTAAAGCATCTTGTATACATACAACCTGCAGGTAATATCAGTGGCAAGCCTTAACAATGTTTCTACATGGCTTATTAGGTTAAACATGATGATCTGTGTAATTTGTGGGGGTCCACCTGGAGATAACTTCCTTCCAAGACTTTATTCCATCTGTTCTCTTCTGATGTCCATGAAGAACTAAATGAATATAAGCACATTTTCTACAGTATAGGGTAATTCTGGAGCAAGTAGTGTATACAGATAACAGGATTATCAAAAATAACAAAAAGTGAATTCTGCCTCATAATTGGAATACTGTCACTTCAAAGGAGAGGTAGCAAATACGGGAAGCAGATTTGTGTGCATTATGCATCATGTACATTGTATATTATCCAAAAGGAAAGTGCTTTTACATTTTGTTACGGTTTCCTATCATCAGGACTTATAAAATATCAGCTCAGTTTTGTATGTAGGTTAAGGACAGCATCTGGTGCTTATTCTCAGTAGAAATGTGATTAAACAAAGATTAAATAATATCAAAGATAAACTGTAGCATACTAGAAGAGTAAATAAAATATGCTTTAGATGAGCATCACAAGTTCAGCCTTCAGTTTTCAAGCCATAAGGGCATAACTTGCTCTCCAGGGATGAATTGTTCAAAAATAGATGTGTGGCACCACTATGAGAACTGTGGTTCAAACAGGCACTCCAAAGACGAACAACTAATGTTTAAACAGAAATATCTGCAGAGTCTCTTGAGTACAAAATTTCAAGAAATAATCCCAACATGCCTGTGTGGTTACTGTATTAAATAAATAAATGACAGACAGACTTACTGTCAAGCAAAATGATTTCATTGGGTATATTCTTATCTATAAGCATTTTCCCCTCTCACTGCAGAAGCTCATTTTACTGAAGCACAGACTGAGCTCCTGTCTAAAACTGATAAATTCTATTAACAACGTCGAAGTTTCCATTAACACTTCTGAGTTTTCATAGCATGCCTGCCAGACTGGGGCCCACACGAAACACAACCAGAGGAAGAGCCCTGAATAAGCTAGTTTCAGGCTTTCACCTGGGATGGAGGTTAGAATTCCTATTCTGCCTATGGGGACTGAACAACTCCTACCCTCCACAAATGTATCCTAATGAGATGGGGGGATCTCTCACTCTTCTTTATTGAAGCTGTTCTGCCTTGAGTAAGTATCTAAGGGTGTTTGTAAACCTGCTCTGAGGTGAAGGTGGGGGGGGGGGGGGCTTTTTGGT